GGCTCAAAATTATGGAATTTGAATTGTAGGCGTTTTTAGCTTCCTCAGCCTCTCCTACAACTATTTCACCGCATAAGAACCAAAAAAAGACGGATTTTTTTCCCATACCGGGCATGTTTGTCACCGCCATTTCCTCGTAAAGTCAGTATTTTATTTTTCTTTATCGCCCGTTTTCTTAAAACTCGACTTTTCTCTATAATTTTTGGAATAAGTCCACCATTTTTTTTTCCAATATTCATGAAATTTTCACAGAATGAAGAGAAAATGTAATACTAAAAATTTGTTTGTTGAATTTTTGATATATGGAATACATTTTTATTGGTGGTGTCTGGAGTGTGGATTTTCACGGATTTTTTTTCAAACTTGAATGCTACCTTAGGAAAAAATTCATTTAAATTTTTCTAATTCGAATAAAAGTTGAGATATTTACAATTGAAGAAGAATGGGTCGTCAGGTGTCAGAAGCAAAATTAGCGAGAAAATGGCTGCCAAAGTTTGGAGATACCCGAAGCTTCAGCGTCCTTGGAACTGCAAATTAAAATTTACATTTTTTGTGCCTTTGATCAATGCTTTTTAAATGAAATCCACACTAAACAACGCATTTAAAGAGTTAATTTATTTCTTTAACAATCATAATGACCACAATGATAGGGAATAGTGCTTTCAAGTTCTAAATAAATACATTTCCTCTCCGCTTTCAGATATAGAGCTGGAGCCATTGTGGAATAACCAGACATGGCCTGCAAACGAAGTCCTGAAGCTGTCTGTAGAACGGGCCAGCTCTAACTGTACAACGAGATTCTTCCACTGTGGACAGAGCAGTCGGACAGACTCCAGTGTTGACAGCTACTGCACCATGCTGCAAGAGAGAAAAGACTGCTTGGTGTCTGCTAGTGATAACCCAACAACGTCTGATCCGCTCTACTGTTCCCAGAGTGAGTGGCAGCTTATGAGTGACGCGGCCTGCACGCGCTCTGGTGAGTACAGAAGGACGGTTATTTATAGATACAAAACGATATCGTAATCGAAATCAAACGACATCTTCATCATCGTCATCAAGTGCCAGATTTGGGACAGACATTGACGATCAAGGTCGGCTATTCATTCCTTTGCTAGGATGTTCCCATGAAAACCATATTATCCAGATTTTCCCAGCGCCTATCTGTTTAGACTATCCTAGTAAATTGCCTCATTTGACTTCTGTTTTGCCAGAGAGAGGCAGATGTTCAAGGCCTGTATGTCTATTTAAGTGTCCCAGAAACTGCACTTGTCTCTTCCTATTTGAATTTTTTTAGCGAGCAGCCAGCGCAGGCTTTTTCAATAACCATCTCATTTTATTTCCCTTCAAGAAATGTTCTGAAGTCTCTTAAGAAAACAAATTTCCATAGTATATATTATTTTATTTTATTTAGTGACGTTCCAGCATTCACTGATGAATAGAAGGGTTGACCTCACATAGCCTTTAAGAATATTTCGGTAGTCATTAAAATAATTCTCTCTTTTAGGATTGGGCTCATTTTTTTTAAAACCAATTATCTTTATCCATTAAAATACATAGTTTTATTCAATTTAAATTGTGTCGATGGGGGCGTTAAAACTCTCATGTGAAAAAAAATTAATTTGTTTTACATCTGTGGAATATTTGGCGTCAGAAATAATTATAATATATCCTACGAGGCATATACAATGTTTAAATTGTTACATCCTTTCAACTTTACTTGTGAGATTATAAATAGGATATACTACATTTTTATATTACCATGCATTCTGGGTTCATCCCTTAGAACTAATATCTTTCTCGTAAACTTTCATAAATTTATAGAAGTGATTAAAGGTATTTTTTCTGAAACTACAATTAATACTGTGCCATGGACATATCTGATGTTTTTAAATATTCGTCATTCACTTTGAGACCTGGACATTCTTCTGTAGTTCTAATGATTGTTTCAATGTGCATTTAAACAGGTCTGGTGATATAACACATCCTTGCCTAAATACTCTTTTAATATGCTTATAATCTCTGTGCTCTCTAAAAAATTTTACAGTAGCATTTTAGTCCCAGTACAAGTGTCTAATTATTCTTAGATCGTTTCCATCTATTCCTTGCTCTTCCAAACTTGTAAATTGTTCATCATGTCTGACGTTATCGAAAGCCTTTGAATAGCCTATGAAGCATCAATACAGATTTTTCTACGCTTTCTCTCTCTCTCTCTCTCTCTCTCTCTCTCTCTCTCTATAT